GCCTGGGGGCGGGGTCCTCACGCTCGCTCGGGGGTCCCCTGGCCCGGGCACGGGCTCGAGCCGGGCCCGGTGGTGCGCTGTCTCGCGATGGCCGCGACCGCGCGGTCCCCGAGCCTCAGTTTCGCCCTCTGCAGAGAGGAGATGGGCCGTGCAATCTCTGTGGGTTTGCCCTGGCCGGGCAGATGGGGAGGGGGCCCCAGAGCGGGGAGACGACGGGAGGGCGGGCCGTGGGCGCACGGGCCGGGGTCCCGTCAAGGCGGTGTCTCAGCTTCCCGCAAAGGGGGCCTGCAGTAGTGCCGCCCTCAGGGCAGGCTGTGGGGCTGGAGCCCAGAGGGCGCGAGGGTCCCTGAGCACAGGGCGGGCCTGCGCAGGCGTCGTGTTAAAGTTATCATCCGGTTTCCTGAGCCGCTGGGAAGACGGGCAAAGACGCCCCTCCCAGTGAAGTTGGGAGACAAATGAGTCCACCTCCACACTGAGCAATCGTTCAACAAGTACTGATTCAGCACGTGAACCCGGACAGAGCCCTCATCCTGGCCTAGCCCCAACCCTGACCTGGGGACTGAACCCCAACCCTGAGCTGAGCCCCCAGCCCGAACTGAGTCCTGACCCCCAGACAGCCCCAAACCCTCAGCTGAGTCTGACTCCAGTCTGAACTCCAATCCCTGCTCAGCCCCCACCCTAGACTGAGCCCTGGCCCCATCTGAACTCTGACCCTGGACTGAGTTCTAGACGGCTGGGTCCTGACCTTGGTTGAGCTTTGATCCTACCCCTCAGCCAGCCCCTGGCCAAGCTCTGACCTCTGCTAAGCTCTGACCCTTGCTGAGCCCCGACCTTGAACTGAGTTCTCTGACTCCTGCTGAGCCCTGACCACCAGCCCCCCCCCCCCCACCGCCCGCTAGGCCCTGACCCTGGACTTCTTCCCAACCCCTGGCTGAGCTCTGACCTGGCTGACTCCCACCCTGGCCCCAGACACCCCCACATTCTTTGGCCAGCTGGTCATGAGAATTGGGTGTGGTGACGTGGTCTTCTGCCTGTCCACCCCCGCTCCAGTGAGGGGGACATGGTGTATTGTGGCCTGTTGTGGGGCCACCCAAGCTGTGCCCTCACCTGCTGGCAGCTGTCCTGGGCTGCCCACAGCTGCATTAACACCTCAGCTGAGGTGACCTCTCCCCCCAGGTGGCCAGCCTCTGCTATGAGTCAGGCATTGCAGCTGGGGACAGGCAGGCAAACCTGTCTGGGCAAAGGAAATCAGGGCATCAAAGGTGGGGGGTGGGGGGTGCTGAGACACCCAGAAAAAGCCCTGTGCAGAGGGGTGCTCTGGTTTTCTCGTCTGTGAAGGGGCACTGGGCTTCACCCCTCGGTCCCTCTGCCCACTGCTGGGGCCTGGAGTGGGCCTCCTCACCTGTAAGATGCGGGTCTCGGTTACTGGGGCTCTCTGGCTGGTGCCCTTTGGGAACCCAGGACTGCTGGTAGCACTGGTGACATCATAGGGCCAAGTGAAGATTAAATAGAAGCACACAGAGGCCATTGGTAAACAGTCACAGAATTAGTTACCATACTTCCTGCAAGATTTCCCAAGGATTGGCCTTCCTACGTATGTCCCACATCCCTGGAGGTATTGGGTGGGTGGTGGGGGCAGTGCAGGAGATGTAAAACAAGCAAACAAAACTCCCTGCCCTCCCAGACACAGGGAAAGAGACCGTCAGCAAGCGAGGAAGCTCACAGGTAGCACCAAGTGGTGATGATGGCTACGTAGAAACGACGTGGACAAGGGGTCAGCATGACAGGGTGCAGGAGGGCTATTTTAGACCGTGGGTGTCTCTGAGGAGGTGACGTTTGGGCAGAGACTAGAGCAGGGTGAGGGGCCTGGCTGTATGGGTCTGGTGGGACAATGTTACACGGTGAGGGAAGAGCAGGTGCAAAGACCCTGAGGTAGGAGTGCCCTGGGAGCATTCAAGGAGTAGCTAGAGGCCAGTGTGCGTGGGCCAGAGTGAGGCAGGCAAGAAAAGAAGGTGGGGAGTCTCTCAGCTCAGCTCTGCTGAAAACAGACTCCTTCACAGGCCATAGTGACAGTATGGTTCCAGAACTCCAGGCCCAGGTTCTCCCAACTCAGCCACTGGGCACCATGTTCCCAGAGAAAGTCCCAGGGCTTTGTCTCATTGGTTGGCTGGGAATCTCATGCTTGTACCTGAACCAATCACTGCAGCCCAGGGGGATTGAAATGCTCTGATTGGCTAGGATGGTGGTGGCCTTGGAGAAGGGGAGAGCAGGGGGTAAAAAGCTATAACATGGCTGTGGTGAAGGACGGCAGGGTGGACACCAAGGAGACGCCCAGGCCACCCTCCTGGTATCTGCTCAGGGCCTTCTGCAGAAACCAGAAACTCCAGAGGAGCCCCGGATGGGGAGGGCTGGCTGAAGCTCCATCTTGGGTGGGGATCTGGGGTGTCCTGGAGGGGTTCCCATGGATACACAAGACGCAGGTGGCATCCTGGGCTGAAGGAGGGCTCCATCTGGGCCTGAGAGGTGAACTTGAGAGCCCTTGGACAACAAGTGGTAATCAAAGCTGTGGGCCCTCAAGGAGGATGTGAGTGGGGAGGAGGCCCCTGGATGGCATGGGAGGACAGGTTGAGAGGATGTCCAGAGCAGCTGCGAAGAAAAGGAACCTTCCAGGGGCTGCGGGGGACCATCCTGGGGGGCAGGAGCGTGCCGCCAAAGGGAGAGGTTTGCAGGGCAGGCAGGGTGGCTTCTGGGGGCTTCGCTTCCAAGGGTCAGAACAGGGCATCTGGGCCCAAGGTCAGGCGTGATGGGCAACTCAGGTCAGCACCCTCGGGAAGGCTGAGGGAGACAGGGTGGTGGGCCCCAAGGAGCAATGTCAGCCTGACCCCAAGGGGGCTCTGGGGTGTGAGCTGGACCAGGTTGTTGCCACCGTGAGCCAAGAAACTCAGTAAGTGCTCACTGGATGAATCTCATGGATGAGGGTTCTGAGCAGTCCCCGATGCGGGGAGGCAGCGTGGGGCCTGTGACTGGTAAGGTTGTGTGTCGGCTTGGCTAGGCCATGATTTTCAGTGGTTTGGCAGTTATGACTGTTTTTTTTTTCTTTTTAATTGTGCTTTAGGTAAAAGTTTATAGCTCATGTTAGTTTCTCATACAAAAATTTATACACGCATTGTTATGTGACCCTAGTTGCTCTCCCTGTAATGTGACAGCACACTCCTTTCCACCTCCGATTTTCCATGTCCATTCAACCAGCTCCTGTCCCTTTCTGCCTTCTCATCTCACCTCCAGACAGGAGCTGCCCATTTAGTCCCATGTATCTACTTGAACTAAGAAGCACTGGCTTCATGAGTATCATTTTATGTCCCATAGTCCGGTCTAATCTTTGTCTGAAGAGTTGGCTTCGGGAATGGTTTTAGTTCTGGGTTAACATAGAGTCCGGGGGCCATGTCTTCCGGGGTTCCTCCAGTCTAAGACCATTAAGTCTGGTCTTTTTAGTAGAATTTGAGTTCTGCACCCCACTTTTCTCCTGCTCCATCGGGGAATCTGTTGTGTTCTCTGTCAGGGCGCTCATTGGTGGTAGCCGGGCACCATCTAGTCCTTCTGGTCTCAGGCTGATGGAGTCTCGGGTTTGTGTGGCCCTTTCTGTCTCTTGGGCTAATACTTTCCTTGTGTCTTTGGTGTTCTTCATTCTCCTTTGCTCCAAGTGGGCTGTGACCAATTGATGCATCTTAGATGGTTGCTCGCTAGCTTTTAAGAGCCGACACCACTCACCAAAGTGGGATGCAGAACATTTTCTTAATAAACTTTGTTATGGCAATTGACCCAGATGTCCCCTGAAAGCATGGTCCCCAGACCCCCGCCCCTGCTACTCTGTCCCTCGAAGTGTTTGGTTGTGTTCAGGAAGCTTCTTAGCTTTTGTTTTAGTCCAGTTGTGCTGACTTCCCCTGTTTTGCGTGTTGTCCTTCCCTTCACCTAAGATAATTCTTGTCTACTATCTAGTTAGTGAATTCCCCTCTTCCTCCCTCCCCGTATGGTATAGTTTTGCAGTTGTATGATGATGTGATCACCTCCATGATGGGTTCTGCAGTGAGTAGCCAATCAGTTGAAAGGGAGCTTCCTGGGGGTGTGGCCTGGATTGCATATAGATGGACTTTCTGGCAAGGCTCAAGGGCTTTTGCTCGCTCTGGATCCTGTAGTTGGCTCCTGTTCGTCTGATCTCCGGTTCTTGGGACTTGAGCTAGCATCTTACCTGCTGTCTTGCCTGCTGATCTTGGGATTCCTTGGTCTTCGCAGCCTGTAAGCAAGAACCCTGCTGTCTGACCTGGAACCTGGGTTTGCCAGTCCCTGC